CTCAGTTGATAGTTTTAAATCCTGGTCCGAGTCTTTGTGTTTTGCTTTTCTGCCTTGATTTTTGTGATGGTGATACTGGAGAGTGGTGAATGGATGCTTGGGCAATTGTCAGAGGATGAGAGAATGCTGCTTTTGCTGGGTTTCACCATTGTAGTTGAGTCGAACCACTTCATTTTGCAGACTCCATGAGACCGTAAATCACCGCAGCACATCCAAAATGTTTCAAGTGCTTTTCGATTTATCTTGTGTGCGATAGAAGCCCTGCCCACGCACGCGCTTCGGACGTGTGGGTGACGTGTTGCAACGCGTTTCATCATCGATAATGTGCTGGGAGCAGCGGCCCCCTTCCTTCCTTCCTCTGCTCGAGGTTAACGCGTTACACGTCACGCAGCACAGAGCTGCCCTATCCATAAGGCAAGAACTCCATTTTGAAGCAAAGGATGCTTCGCTCAGCCATCACCTAACGCCCAAATAGGGATGGTATAGACAGTACTTCCAGGTCCCGGCTCAACCTGAGCAACACCTAACCAGCCAGACTCCTGTGTTTTTAAAAAAAAAAAAAAAAAAAAAAGGGGGGGGGGGGGGGGAACAAAAAAAGAAAAACCCACATAAAAGTACATACAAGGACACCAATACCGTAATTCAAACACTAAACGCGTAAAAAAAACCACAACCCCTAAGCCCCCAACCCTCAACCTCCCCCACCTCCCCTTCAGCCAGCTCTCTATCTCGCCTTGCGTCCCTAATGCCCCCCATGTTGCTGCTGCCTCAGCTTCCAACTATCCTTGATGCCCTTGGCGGCGTGTAGGAGGTCAGCCTCGCTGACGGCGTCCTTGATGCTGCCCATGACGCTATTCACGGTACTAACGTGATTAGCCTCGGTCTTGTCGTCGCGAAACCGGTACAGACGCCAGCGCTTCTCCTCGTCCAGGCAGCACTCGATGATGCTGTCCTGCAGCGGGTCGTTCCACTCCTTGAGCGTTTCCCACTCGGCCTCGGTCAGGTACAGCGGCTCCTTGAGTTCTTCGTAGCTCGGCTTGCCGCGGTCGTTGCCCGTGAAGATGAGTAAGCGTGCGTCGGGGACGCTGTCGTAGTCTACGAAGGGCTCGGTGATGCCGTCGGCGCGTTCTAGTTCGTTGGGCTCCACGACGGGGAAGTTGAGTTTTAGCCGGAAGTCGATCGTGTTCTCGTGTGGTGCTTTCCACTTGAGGATGTGTTGGTCGGTGCCGAACTGGTAGGGGCTGGTGCGGCAGGTGAAGATGAGGCCGTCGTTCTGGTGCTTCAGAGTAGGGAGCACCTCGCGGAACATCATCTCGATGCCGTACGAGAACTGCATCTCCTTCATCTCGACCTTGAACGCCTGGTAGCGCAGCTCTTCGGGGAAGGCCGAGAACAGGCTCTTGTACGGCTTCATGACGTGCTCCTTGAAGTAGCCTAGCCGTTTGTCGAGGGGCCTGGAGAGCACTTCGGCCTTGCCGTCGAGCGCGAGCAGGTCGAAGACGAGGAAGACGGGCGCCTTCTCGCCGTTGGGAAATGTGTCCATCACCAGCTCGCCGTCAATCAGTGTGCCCGTGTGGAATGCTGCACGGTCTTGCCGCCAGCGGGAAGTGGAAGTGCGCTGTGACAGCCACCAGTAGTCGTTTTTGCGGTCTACTAGGTAGTGCACTCGTTGGCCGTTCTCGTCCGACGTCAGGTAGAGGAGGTAGCGGATGCCATCGGATTTTTCGCAGACGTAGTAGCTGTTGCAAAAAAGGGGGCCCCGGTCAGTAACAAGCTAGCAACGGGGTGAAAGAAATGCGACAGGGACGGGGATGGGACTACACACTCCTCTCTCCGCAATTCCTCCAGATGCCTCCGCGCGAATGAGACGGGCTGGGCTCCCGGAAAGTTATACGAGTTGCGCCCGAGCAGATTGGCGACCTCAGTACGCAGCTCTCGAAGGAGGTCACCTTGGGCCTTGACGCCCGGGGCCGCGATGTCGCGGAGGGGTTGCGCTCCCTGGTCCATGGCGACTCGCGGGGATGATTAATGATTCGACCGGGGATTCGGAGGTCGAAATGCTATAAATCCAGTCTTAGGATGACAAGTGAAATGACCCTCCTACGGTTGTCGAGTCCAGCGCGTTGCAGGCGCGTACTTCGATACTCGCGGCTTCTTTGAGGGTTTGCTGCTCGGCACGGTAGTTATCTTATCGTGGAAGATACCGTCCTTAAATGGAGCTTAAAAGGCCAAGCTGCAGCACACCCCCTGGCTCCTGAAGGTCGCCACCATTCGTAACCATTGAGACAGACCCCCACATCGGTACCTAGCCGGATTGAGGAAACGCGGCCCGAGACGGACGTCACTCATAGTTAGCAACGATCCAAAACAGGAGCAAATTCAGTATAGAAGGTATATACGGGTCCATGAACCCTAATCGCTGGTCTATCGACTAGCAATGTTCATTTCAAGCACATTACAGCAGAGCCTAACATTATTGAGCCTCCTTGGCCGGGATCGCTCTTGGACCTCTAGGTATCTCGTAGGGTAGGGTAGGTGGGTATTTTGTGAGCGCATCAGCCCATCGACTCATCAATCTTCTCCACTTCTGCCTTCGCTTCCTCCCATGTTTCCTTGTTCTTCTTTGCCCACTCGATCTGGCTTTTCGCATAGGCGAGCTGTAACCGGCTGTCAGCGTTCGTCTGCAGTGCAGTCAAGTTTCGGAAAGTCACCTACCATGTACCGCCTTAGGTCGTCCTCTTTCTCCTTCTGAAAACGCTTGAGGTCCTTGAGGATGCTCGCGCTCGCATCCTTCACGTCCTGAGCCGACGCGACCTTTGCTTGCTCGAGCTGTACGATCGACTCGCGGGTCTTGGTGATGGTGTCCCGCCGTGTTTTCTCGGGGTCCGCGTCAACCACCCCTTGAACGGCGTGACGGAGGGGCCCAAAGATCTTGTTCGTGATCGACGTCGCGCTTGGTGCCTTCTTATGGCTAGGAGCTGCGGGTGACCTCTCTGGGGTCCCGATATTGGCCGAGGGCGCTGAGGCGATGTCGCCGTGCGTGGGAGGAAAATCTGAGTCGATCGATGCGGTGTCCTCGTTACTGCCATCGCGGCGATGCGACTGCGTTTCCCTTGTGCTCGTCGATTTCTTCGGGGGGGGCGGGAGTTGCTGTGTGCCACTCAAGTACTGCTCTATTCTCCTCGCCTCCGCCTCGCTCCGCTCTAGTTGGTCAAGCAACTGGCCCTTCCGATTAAGTTCGTCTGCGGTCATATCTTGTTGCACCCGCTTCAGAACCCGATACCGCAAGACGCTCCTAATTACACCGGCAAACTGCGCGTTCTCACGCATGGGTTCAGCAAAGCTCGCGCCGAGAGAGCTTGAGAGTTCCTCGGTGGCGATGTACGACGAATCGGCGGCTTGTCCTATCCGCTCAATCGCCGTCGAGAGCGATTGAACGGGCTCGGAAAGAGAAAACGCGTTATATCTCGCCCCTAACTCGGAGAGATCCGAGGCCAAGGACGACAGGTGGTTCAGGGACCGCCGGTTGACCTTTTCCATGGGGCCCATAAGTAGCGATTCGAGCTCTCTGATAGAGGTTTCGAAGGCGGTAAAATACGGGTCCAACTCCTGCTCGCTAAGGTTACTGCTATCCGGCGGGAAGCGGGAAAAGACCTGAGCGCCGGCCGTGCTGTTCGGAGCCGGCGCGGCGGGCGCGGACTTGAGCTTTGAAGAGCTGGCGGGGATGGGGAGAAATTCGTGACCCGGAGTCGGATTGGCCGGGTCCAAGGGCGGTGCCCTCATTATAGATTTGGGGATGGATGCCACGGGATGCGAGTGGAGGACCTCGTTCTTGTCTTTTGTTAGTCGCGCTTGTCATTGTCTCTGGATGGCTATCGCAACCTACCCAGCTTGAGTTGGGATCCAAAAACCGCCACCAGACGCCATCCGCCCGGACCTGCTCCATCCTCCGGCACCTGTTCAAGAAAACCGCTAGCATGCGCTTCCGGAGATCGATTATTTGCTGGTCCTGCTTCGCGTTGGTGGGGTTGGCGGCGTACTCGGCCACGGTATGCTTCTCGGGAATCGGAGGTATGATGAGGGTAGGATGTAGCCGTGTGAGTGCCTCCCGGAGTGTCGCAAACTCTGAATAGCGCCGGCGAACTATAAGTTCCTAACAGCAACCGGTCAGTGTCTACCTTGTCGACACAGCCCAAAAGTTCGGCCCTTACCCCGGTTTTGATCGTGTAGACGATGTATCTACCACTCTCCGTGCTCTTCCCGGCGTCGGTAATTAAAATGGGTAGCTCCGGGTTCTCGTAGAGCATTTGCTCCACACGACTATCATATCCACCGGGCTTTGGACGGGGGACGAGCTCGCCCTGGGAACGGATAGTTTCCTCCTCTTGGCTCTCGGCATCTGTAGACTCGCGCGGGGGAGCTTCATCCCCGGTAGAAGATGGTGTGTTGGGAGCTTCATATCCCGGGTCTATTTCCACCCAGTCACTGTCAGCCTCGTCGTCCTCGTTGATGGGGGGGGCCGGGGGGGCCAAGTCAATATCAAAAAATTGCGACGACATGATTTTGAAGGTGTGTAATTGCAATAAATTGAAAGATCAAAGGAGATCAGAAGGACTCACAGTCGTGCGTCACAGGCGAGGACGGATTCGCAGATGACCCAAATGAGTCCCTGCGCTCAAAGCTCCCATAGGGGTTGTTATCCTCGTCATTCCACATGATGCGGAGCCTTCCACCGAGTCAATCACAAAGATGAGACGTAAAGCTGCCTGCGGTTGGGTAAAACGAGAAGCGGAAGGAGCAAACACAGTGGATGCTGGCAGGCGCAGCGCTGTGCGGCTCTGTGCAGCTCTGTGCAGCTCTGTGCAGTTCTGTGCAGTTCGATGTCGCTCGTTGCGCTGAGGCTCGTTCGTGGGGCACGGCCAGGGAGCGGTTGTTGGGAACCCAGCAACCGCGGGGTTGCGACCAGGGCTGGAGAGTTCGTCGGACTGTTGATTATGATAATATCTGGGGTCCCCTAATATTCAAGGGCAATTGAACAATGGTGATCGGTTCGATATCTATACGCTTATACAGCTGGTCGGACCTTGGTAGATGTTGGTGCGGGTGATTCGCCGCTCGTCTTGGGATGTAGTTTGTACGTTACTACTACCCGGCAGAGGTTGGTGGGTCGGAGCTTGTCAGATGCGAGGCACAGCCTGCCAAGAGGATGACGACGGTTGTCCGCTTGGACCATGCTGCTGAGTGCACGTTACGTAATGCGCTAGCGAGCAGCTCAGAGTTAACTCACTAACTAGTTACCCCACACGATGATCTGGGGAAGCTGTTTGGAGATTGTCTGCTGATTGTTTGCAGCTTTATTAGCTTGGGAGCTTGGGTATGGGTACCTGGTCACGGCATTGTCTCTGGGGAATCTTTTGTTCTTTTTCAGAATGTTGTCTCGCTATTTCTTCTCCTGACCGCAAGGCCGCTTCCATTACAGAACTTCTGAAGTTGGCATTATTTCACACTAATCTCATAATCGTGAATGAACGAATGTTCACAAACTCTCATTTATGATGTCATTACCTATTCCTACATGGATACATAGGTACCTACAACTCAACCATGGCCCGGGGTGCACCTTCGGGTCGGATATGAGAACGCCGAAGGCTCGTGGCTCTTGGCTGTACTGGCGATAACTATCTGCTGCCACCAACCTTGTGGTACACAATAGTCAATACCTTGCTTGATAGCAGCGACCATGTCTGTACCACCCAATGCAGGACCATGCACCTCACCCACTGAGCCAACACACCAGTCATCTCGCACTCACTCCTCCCCCCTCAAAGCCCGACGCATTAGATAAAACCTCTCGTAACCCGGTCAGCCACCCCAGGCCGCCGGCCCTCCTCCTCCGCCTCCTCCTCCTCCTCCTCCCGTCTTCTACCGCCCCCACCACCCCCACGTGTCTCCCGCTCCCGGCTCCTCCCCTCCCCCCTCAACTCAACACTCCGCCCCGACTCCAACGACCCCAACGACACTGACGATGATCCCGCCGACGACGATGCACCCAACACGCCACCACGTCCCTCCTGCTCCTCCTCCTCAGGCAGCGTAAACGACACGCGCGGCCGCCGGCGCTCGGGGCTCGGGAACTGGAGGTCGGGACTCGGCGTCGGATGGCGCCGCTGACGCTGACGCTGCCGTTGTGAGGGCCCTGGCTGTCGGCTGTCGTCCGAGAGCTGCCGCCGGTGTAGGTCGTGGGCGAGGGGGACGGTATCGGAGGGCCGGATGCGGGTCTGGGGGGCGCGGTTTGGGTGCTGATGGTGGGGCTGGGTTGTCTCGGGGTTGGAGAAGGCGCGGGGGCGGGGGCGGGGGCGGGTGCGGGTGCGGGTTGAGCGTGTGGGGTGGGGGTTGTTGGTGTTTAGGACGGCTTCGAGGCTTGTGTTGAGGTAGCTGGAGCTGATGCTAGATTCGGATTCGGATGGGGGGGTGTTATGGCGCCGGTCTCGCGCGCTGGTTTGGGTGCTTCGTCGCGGGGACTGTGAGTTTGGGCGAGTTCGACGGATTCTGTTTAGGAGACTGCGGTTTCCTTCTGGAGGAGCGTCGAGTGATCTCTTCTACGCTTGCGCGGAGGTGATGGGGTCGGAAATGGTGGAGGTGACGGTGACCTGGACTGGCTGGCCCGGAGAAGACGAATCGGATAGGGTTCTGGCATGGCCGGTGGCGGGAGATTTGCCCCGAGAAAACCAACGGCGCCATTTGCTCTGGGGTTCCGCAACTGGAGTGGTTGGAACATTCTTCTCTTTCTTGTTTCTTGTCGGAGTCGATGGTGTGACTGGTGGAGGCGCGCAAGCGGGCTGGGGCACCGGTACCACCTCTGCCTGAGGGTACTGGCCTTGAAGGTTGGCGTAGCCAAAATAGGGAGGCGGCACATCTGCCGGATATGGGACCGTGGTCGTGCCGAGTGTCAACGGGGTCGAGTGAAAGGTAGCCGGGGGATGGCCTGATTGCACGAAGGCTATCGGGCCAACTATCGGCGGCTGTGGCACCGTGGAGGATGGAGAGGCGGACCAAACAACAGGAGGAGGTGGAGGTGGCGGTGGCACCAGATGTATATCTGAGGTGTGAGCCATCCCAAGCTGCTGAGGCACTTGGCCGAGTATGTTGTTTTCTTGCTGTTGGGTCTGCCCAATTTGTCCTTTTCCGGGCGGTGAAATTGGGCCATCTGTCTCAACAGGTTCTGGGTCGCTCAATTGCCTTGGCTCTCGGTAGATTGTGATGGAGACCCTGCTAGGATCCCGTCTCGAGAGTTCCCAATGACCGGTGACTGGATTTTGACTGTCGTCACGGCCACTTTGGAGGCCAGGTTTGATCTGGAGCCGCCAGTACAAGTACACCAGTGCCAATACAACAGCGACAATAACAAGGATGATGCCAAATTGTGCGGCATCGCCCAAACAGTCCCACCCGGAACTATCAACCATGTTAGTCCTTATTCTGTCAGAGCACAGAGACACATACCAATCATCGCTTTCAGCTCTTTGAGCAAGCCGACCCGCCAAGTGAAAGTCACTGTAATATGCCGAGGGCGCCATCAGTAAGTTTTGTGGTGGTAAGTTTTATGATCGACCAAGCGACTCATCCTCCATCAGAGAATAATGGGCCAAGCAGTAGAAACTGTCGTATTGAATGCCTTCTTTAATTGCAAGACTTCCGACGGTCGAGGCAAGCCCCTGAAATGAATTGAGAAGTAAAGATCAAGGGCGGGGTAGTTTTCAAGATGGCAGTGGCCGATTGGAAGTATGTACTTTTGGTTGCTGTTATTTGCGGAGTGTTAAACATTTTGACATGATTGGAACACTAGGTAGAGGGAGTGAATTAACAGTGCGGAAACACGGCTTGAGACATGGTCAGGGCGTGTCCAGATGCGAGACTCCTCAACTTGAAGTTAATGAGAGGTCGTATCTTTCAGAATTCACACGTTGAACTTAATTTTGTTTCAAGACCTGCACCTCAGTTTTAACAGCAGACCGAGAGTGCAGTGCCCGCAATATACCGCAATACCCAACAGTACAAACCAAGTGCTCTAAGAGATGTAACAACAAAAGACTGAGGATAATTCTAGGACCTGGAACCTGATCTGTTGTTCTTGGTAGGTAGGAAGGATGAAGCTATGGGCTGGCACCCACTGGCCAAAAAAGTCCGAACTCGAAAGCAAATACGAAACCAAGAAAAAAGGAAAGAAACAAGCCATAAGAAACGGAACAAAAGAGATAAAAATGAAAAAGACCGAGTAAAAAAAAGTAAAAAGTAAAGAAAACCTGAAGAGTAAATACAGTTTTTTTGAGGGGAAGAGGGGGAGGGGGGTTGGATAATTTTCGTTTCATTCTTACCGTCGAGGTTTGGCCGACATCTCCACTTGGGAGTCGGCTTTTTTTGTCCACGAGGTTGCTGGCGTCGTTGGGCAGCCTTGTCGTTCAGGGGTGGTTAACGGGAAGCGGCTTGACACGATTACCCAATGACAAGTTCCTTTGGGAACAGGGGTAGCCTGTAAATTGATTCTTTGCAGACCCGCCTTTCAGCCTCATCGCCTTCTTGGACTAAAGTGGATTCCTTATTCACGGCTTCGAATCAACATAATAATAGGAAGCTGTCGACGCGACAATACCTCACCGAGTGCGCTGCCATCCCCTCGCACACCAGAATCCGAACCAAAGAACCACCATGCCATACTAGCAACCGAAATCGAATGCCGATCGAACCTTAAACCCGAACTTTGCTTTGAAATACCGATTCCGAATCGATTCAATCGCAAACTTCACAAACCCGATCTGTTTGCTCATTGCACAGTCCTCCTGACTTCGATATCCCGAGTCAACAAAGAGAGTAATTCAGGACCTCCGATCGCCGATTTGCTCCCGGATCCCTTTCCGTGATACCGCGCGCGAGACGCGTCGACCCAAGCCATCATGGCTTCGACCCTCCCCAGCAGCCAAGCGAATGGCTCCGATGGACCTGCGAAAGGTCTTGCCTCCTACGTTCCCAAGAGCAAACGCTTCTCTGATATCCCCTCTACCATCGACATCCCTATGCAAGATGATGTGGAAGTGGAGATTGACCTCGAGGTGTTGCCCGACGACCCGACTGAGCTCTGCTCCGTTTTCGAGAATGAGCAGTCTGCTAGGATATACTGGATGACCGTCGCTCTGGCGTACGCGAAACAGAACAAGATCGACTTTGCCATTGAGATGCTCATCCGTGGCGCCAACGCTCTGCAGGGCAATCAGCGTGAGAAACTCGGCATCATCACCTGCATCTGTTGGCTGTATCTGTGGAAGAGCAGGGAGGCTCCCAGAGTGGCCCCCGAGGGGTCTCTAGTTTCCGACGCAAAGACCAAGGAATACTATCTTCAGTTGGCTACCCAGAGTCTGAACGACGCGTCACGCATCAACCCGGCTTTCCCGCCACTCTTCTTGGCCCGCGGGGTCCTGATTCTCTTGAAGGCGTCACTTCAGCCGTCGTCCAAGGCACCAGGCGCAGTCGATTCGCGCAAGTCGGAACAGCTGCGCAACGCACTCAAGTCGTTCGAGGAAGCTATCCGTGTATCACAGGGGAAGAACATGCTGGCCGTCATGGGCAAGGCGCGCGCCCTCTTCTCCCTCGGCCGGTATCCAGATGCGCTATCTGCCTACCAAGAGGTCGTACAAAAGATGCCGGACTTGGTCGATCCCGATCCGCGCATTGGTATCGGCTGCTGCTTCTGGCAGCTGGGCTACAAGGACGATGCCAAGCTCGCCTGGGATCGCTGCCTCGAGATCAACCCAGACTCCAAATACGCCAACATCCTGCTCGGCCTCTACCACCTGGACGCCAGCGGTCATGTGCCAACCAACAGCCCGGAGTTCATCCGCTTGTACAAGAAAGCCATGACCGAATACACACAAAAGTCCTTCAAGCTCGACAAGAACCTCCCACTCACCTGCGCCACCTTCGCCGGTTATTTCCTCTCCCGGAAGCAGTTCGCCAACGTCGATTCTCTTGCGCACAAGGCGATAGAGTACACGGACGTGAACGCCATCGCGAGTGACGGCTGGTATCTCCTCGCTAGGACAGAACATCACAACGGCGACCTAGAGAAAGCTAGCGACTACTACCGCCGTGCTGATGATGCCAGGGGCGGTACCGACCGGGGCTATCTGCCAGCCAAGTTTGGTGTAGCTCAGCTCTCGGTTCTCAAAAATGATCTCGGAGAGGCGAAGCTTCGGCTAGAGAAGATGATTCAGCACGCCAAGAACTACGAAGCCATGATATTGCTGGGCACCCTGTACGCGGAGGAAGTGTTTGCCAACCAGGCGGCTGCCGTCAAAGAGGACAAGAGCGCTGAGGCGAAGAAGGCCCTAGGGCTCTTAGAAGGCGTCCGCTCAGCTTGGAAGGACTCCAAGAAAAACCTTGCGCCAGATGCGGCCGTGTTGCTCAACCTCGCGCGTCTATACGAGAACGAGAGTCCAGACAAGGCATTGCAGTGCCTGCAGCAAGTCGAGCAACTGGAGATGGAGCAAGTTCCCCAATCTGAATATCCTGCGGATACAGAGGATGAGGCAGCAACCCGCGCTGCCATCCGCAAACTCTTGCCGCCACAGCTCCTCAATAATATCGGCTGCTTTTACTCCCAAGACGGGAAACACCACCTTGCTACCGAGTTTTTCCAAGCCGCTCTCGATTCTTGCGCTCGCATTAGCCAGACCGAGAACGATCTGGACATCGATGCGCTTCTGACAACCATCTCGTTCAATCTCGGCAGGAGCTACGAGTATGAAGGCGATGCTGACACGGCGATTAAGACTTACGAACAACTGCTGAGCCGCCACAGCGATTACACAGATGCGCGAACGAGGTTGGCTTACATCAAGTTGCGCAAGAACCCCAACAAGGAGGGACCGGACGCGGTTGCCAAGCTCTACCAGGAAAACTCGTCCGACTTGGAGGTCCGCGCCCTTTACGGCTGGTTCTTGGGCAAGGTGAACTCGAAGAAAAGGCCGGCCAACATTGCAGAGGACCCGGAACAACGGCATTACAAGCACACCCTGCAAAACTACGACAAGCACGATCGGTATGCCCTGGTCGGCATGGGCAACCTGCACCTCATGTCTGCGCGCGAGATGCGCCGCGAGACCGAGCAGGACAAGCAGAAACGGAGTGCTGCATACAACCGCGCAGTCGAGTTCTTCGACAAGGCGCTGCAGCTAGACCCCAAGAACGCCTACGCGGCCCAAGGCGTTGCTATCGCTCTCGTGGAGGACCGGAAAGACTACAAGAACGCCCTGCAGATTTTCATCAAGGTCCGCGAGACCATCCAGGACGCCCACGTCTACGTCAACCTGGGCCACATCTACGCCGAGCTGCGCCAGTTCAGCAAGGCCATTGAGAGCTACGAACTTGCGCTCACCAAAGAGGGCAAGGCCAACGATGCCGGCATCATCTCGTGCCTTGGGCGGACCTGGCTCAATAAGGGCCGCGCAGAGCGCAACCTTGACGCCTACAAGATGGCTCTAGACCACGCCAAGAAGGTAAAGCAAAGCCACCTCCCACGGCAACCTGCTCTCCCTGACTAACCACACATTTCCTAGGCCCTTGCTGTCGCCCCAGACCAGCTCCACTTCAAGTTCAACGTCGCCTTCGTGCAGATCCAAGTCGCGCTCACGCTGCACTCGATGCGCGACAGCGAGCGGACATCCTTCCAGCTCGAAGAAGCCGCCGAAGGCCTCGAGGCCGCCATTAAAGCGCTCGACGAGATCGCCGCGTCCCCATCCCCCCCCTACCCCAAACACGACATGGAACAGCGCGCCAACATGGCGCGCAACACGCAGCGCAAGCAACTCGAGCGCGCCCTAGCCAGCCAGCGCGAGTACGAGGCCAAAAACAAAGAAAAGCTCGCCGCCGCGCTCGAGCAGCGGCAGGCCGAACTCCGGCGGCGCGAGGCGGAGCGGCGCCGCCTCGAGGAGGCCGAGCGCGAGCGCCAGGACAAGATCCGCCGCGACCGCGAGGCCATCGCCGCCCGCGACCGCGCCCTCGGCGAGCAGCGCGCCGAAGAGGAACGCGCCCGCATCGAGGCCGAGATGACCACCGACAGCGAGACCGGCGACAAGGTCAAGCGCAAGAAGCGGCCCGCTGCTGCCTCCCGCCGCTCCCACTCCGGCGAGGCCCTGCTCTGGTAGGGGTGGTGGTGGTGGTAGAAGTAGGAAGAAGAAGGCGGCGTCGGCGGGTGGTGATTCGGATGGGGAAGACTCTGCGGGTGCTGAGAAGAGCCGCCGGCCGCCGAAGAAGAGGCAGCGTCTGGCGAGCAAGAAGGAGAGCTCCTCCAAGTACAAGTCGCAGGAGATTGTGGTGGATAGTGATGAAGATGAAGACGCTGACTATGGCGGCGGCGACCCTGAGGATGCGCTGGACAAGGCGGA